GCGATAAGAGCAGTGTAGCGCGACGATTCGTTCTCGGGGTCAATATGTCGGCTATAGCATTTACATCACAAGAAGATGAACATTTTATTGAATCCGTGCGTAAATATCCAGAGCTTTATGACTGTTCACACATGCAATGTTTTAATTTATTAATTAAAGATGCAAAATGGAAAGAAATTTCCCCAAGATATTTTCGAACAAATGTCTATTTATTAGGATTTTAAAATATCCTTCAAAATCGTGGTTTAAAAATAAGGAATCAATTGGATTCCTTTTTTTAGGCAACAAATACGAAAATAATATTTCATTATCTTCCAACTCATCTTCTAGTAAGTTTATAATTAATTTATTATTATTCAAAATACACAGCAACTCATTATCAGACATGTTGGTACCGTTTTACGTCAACCTTCGATAGACATCGGCGTGCTACTGACGAAATTTAGAACCTAGTACCTACGATCGGTCGCGCATTGAACACCAGTCGGTCATCAGCGACCGAAAATTATAACTGCTCGCGGCGACAGGTCGCGCATTGGACACCGTACCTTTAAACGACGAATACTTAACCAATTCGGCCGGGACGGCAGTCGCGGCGTTTCGTTATATTTATTTTTTTTTTGTTCTTTAATTTTTCAACGTTTCTTCTAGACGTACATTTACCCATTGCCGTCGACGCCGTTTGTTGCAGCACACCGTTATGTGCAAAGTGTCGTTCCGTGACCGCGCGTTTGCGGTGCCCAGTCACATCCCGTGCTTATCCGTCGGTTTCGAAATATTGCGCGGACGCAGACACCGCACTGCAACAACTGCGTTTGACGGGACAAGAAGAGACACGTTCGTTCGGCCGCGGCGCGTCAAGCGCAGTTCTCTGTTTTTGGCGTACGCGCGTGCACTCTGCGATTCACACCTGAGATTCCGCGTGACCGTAAAGTACCACTCGCTGTCAAAAAATCTGGGAGGGGTAAGAAATTTTCGATCGTCCTTGTACTGGGAAACCGTGACCACATTCAGAGCCCAACAACATCGCACGGCGCTTGACACGCAATCTGAGCGCGGAGCGGTTTTTTGTCGACGATTTACACGCGCGCACAGGAATAAAACGGTATTGTGTCAACTGATAATTGTATTTCTACCGTATTGTAAGAATGCTGATCGATGAATGTAATAATATGCTGTTATGATTTTTTCCAAATAAAACTCATTCGTCTATAGTTCACGTGTTCGTTCGTTTACTGCGTTCTTTTTGCCCCTTCGTGATTTTTCGACGGAAAGAACATGCTTGAAGTGTCGACACGACATGTTTTTGAGGTATTTCAGGTGCGTAACGAGAACGTCGATGGACGTACGTCGTCGATGTTTTCGAACGTAGAAACTGGACGAAATCGCATGAAGAACGTTTCCCGTGTCCTTTGTCGATCATTGTTCATGCCGGTCCATGCGGTAGAACCCTGTGTTGCCGTCACGTTTACGATGATTTACGCTTTATCGTGAAAAAAAATATCGTCATGGTACATGTGCTGGGGCATAATCAAATTGCGATTACAGGCAATTAAAACTGTAGGTTCAAATAAAGCAATGGTCGAACCGCACTAGGTTCCAGAAATATGTTCGAAAGAATAAAGTAAATAATAGCTAATGTTTTTTGAAAAACAAAAATCTAATAATGTGGAATTTTGATGATTAACCGTCTAAATAATACTGATAATACGTAAGAAAATATGTTGAGTATTTTTATTTTTTGTTTGAACTGTATTATATGAGGAAAACCATTCGCAACGCCTACGCTCAGAGAGTAGTAGTACAGTAGTAGTAGGTGATGACATTGATACCTTAATTTATACACCGTTCGATTACAACTACAATTTTGTTGAAAAATACTAAAATTATTTTCTAATATATCCCGGTTATTAAAATGATAATACGATATAATTTTTTTTGTACGTACGAACAGAACATTTTCGACCCAAGTGCAGTTCGACCGTTTCGATTTAATTATGATGCGCAGCGAAATTCGACTATTTCGATTTGCGCAAGCAACGGTATACATTGTGCCATGGTCTATTCAAAGGATTTTTGTCAACAACGTATTAAATTCCCTTTATCACAAGTCACGTTTAAAACTAAGGGCACCCATAGGAAAATTCTCAAGAGGGGGGAAAACATTTTAATTTACTAATCTATTTATAAATAGGAATGACCACGAGATAGGAAGGGGTTTACAATATTACATTATATATATATATCAAACTGGAATATTATAAAATATTAATTATTTAACCAACTAACCAAAAAAAGTAATTTATTGACATTTTTATTTAATTAATAATATAAAGTAGACACTTGAAACAGTAATTATATTTATTAAAATATTAGTTTACAAATAAAAATTGTAAATTTCTTTTTTTTATATCAAAAGAGATATAATAATGTGTAAATACGCGCGTCGATCGTGATAACAACATAAGTATCTATTTAGGTGCGAACACGCGCGTGACCGCAGATTGAAATATCATGTATTATTATCGGACCGTACGGTTGACATGCGCGTTTCATTGCGAGCGGTTTTTAAATAAAAAAATCGTACATTTTCATCAGCTTCTAGGTCATCGAATAAGGATAGACTCATAATATTTTGTGTAATTTATCTAGATTGTATTTAAAAAATTGATCATCGAAACGGATTTAGTTATTAGTGAAGTAGAAACAGCCAGTTGTATGGGATATGTCGTTTAGTGAGTATTCAAACAGAACTTTTAAAGTATATCCAACAGGGGGCGATGCCCGTTTTCACCAAAAGTAGACCTTTCCCTTTTCCACCAAATGAGATATTGACCACGTTTTTACCCAAAATAAATGTATACTACGCTTAAATTAAAAGCTATAGCACAGAAATAACTTTATTTAACATATACTATTAATTCAATCAATGTAAAGTCATTGTAGAATATATGCAATATAGGTTGGAAAATGTTAAATTTCATTTATAAAAATGGTCAGATATAAAAAGGTGAAAAAATGATATATTATGGTTTACGATACCTTAGTTACCTATGTAAATTATAACTATATATAATTAGTTGATATTTGTTAACTGATCCAATAAAAAATTTAAAGTTATTTAGTTCTAGTGTTTTGTTTCTACGTTTACTTTCGATAACTTTAGCCATCATAGAATTATACATTTTAAAATATATTACTATAACCTAACCTATTATTGTTTTATCGATATAATAACTTGTCGTCGTCACTGTTCGGTTCATTAGTGATTGTTTCATTCTAGCTACTATCTTCTTATCGTCTTAGTTGTATGAGTTGCAAAAAATACATACAAATTGATATGCCACTCAATGTTTAATAATTCGGGTTTTGGGTTAACTCAAATATATCATAAGGGTTTTGGGTTATTTCGGGTGTTTTACGGGTGTTGATTTTTTCAATCGGTTTTGTGTGTACGGGTTTTGGGTTATGCTATTTATTTGGGTTAATTCAGGTTTCGGGTTTCGGGTTACGTTCGGGTGCAAAGCCCTGCATTAATTATATTGTGTGTATATTTATATATATTTTACATCAATTTGAAAAACTCATGAAAAGTATAAGTATTCTATTCTCATTTGGTAAGAAAGGGAAAGATACACTTTTGGTTGGAACGGGTATTGGTGGAAAAGGGAAAGATCTACTTTTGGTGGAAACGTGTTACGCCTCCAACAGGTCATCAAATTATTTAATTGACATTCGAAAATAATTAAAAAAATTTTCGTCATGATCCCTAAACTTCGGATACTAAGTAATATAATACAATGGCTTGATGATAGTTTAGTTTTTAAAATTGGATGGATCCAATATTTTCTTTCTTCCTTTTATCTTCGTCTTCTCGATCTTCGATGTGTAACCCACACATAACTTCTGATACGTTAATTTTCGTCAAATGTATAATACTAATTGTATGCTAATATGTAAAATATAAACAAGAATTTTTTGCTGAAACATGTTTAATCGTTGGTGTTTGCACGTCCATGTGAATGCAAGTCTGAGCATTAACGAGTTAATAAGTTAAAAGTTAAGTTAATTTAACTTATTATTTCATTACTGATAAATTAACTTAACTTATTAACTTAACTCATTTCCTTACAAATTAACTTGAAATTAATGTATTATTTTTTTCATTTATCCCAATTAAGTTAATTTTGATTTTCAAGACCAGAAAAATATTTTTTCTAAAATACCGCATTCACTAACAAGTTCATGGAATTTGAGAAAATATAAAAATAAAAGTTTCGAAGAATTTTTAGATGAGACCATAATATTTATCTCGGTATTAACAATTAATAAGGGTCCCACCGGTATCGGGAAAAGTACTCAACCGTTATCAGACTATTGAGTAAAAATAGCCATGTCATCCATGAATTACATTACCATTGTCATGAAGTGGCCGTAAATCTATATTACAAAAATAGGTACATATTATCATTGACTAAATAAATCCTAATAATAATTGTACTCTATTATCATTAGAATTATTCGATAATTTATGATATTATTAAATATTATTGAATGAGAGAAGAAATTTAATTGCTGATTAATATTTTTAGATGACTCTTTTATTGAGATTCTATAGGTATTTTAATTAACCTGTCCATTGTATTGTTTTATTTGTTTAGATTTTAATAAAATTAAATAATAATATTACATATTTATTTTAATGTTTTGTATCATCTATATACATTTATTGCCTATATAATTTTATAGTTAACTTTCAGCTGCAGTTATTATTTTTAGTTTTCATACTGTTATCAAACATTAAAAAACATACTTTTTAAAATTATATTTATCATATGTGATTTGTATGAAAAATTAATAAAAACAAACGGTACATAAATTACCATTAATTTGACATTTGAGTGCTTAAAAACAATCCTAATAAAGAAACGAAAAGTTAATGATATTTTTTAACTAATTTTTTACTTCATTGATGTAATTCTCATGTGCATTAACTTAATTGTTAACTTAATTGAACATGAATTCAATTAATTTAACTTAACTGAGTTAGAAAATATTATTAACTTACCCAGCCTTGTGTGAATGATCACAAAAGTTGAACGCGCGATGTGCGATTAACTGAACCATGTGAACCATGTGAACCTAGCCTTATGTTATGTTTATAACGCATATAAATAGTGTATTATATAATATACATAGTATTAAATCATACAAGTACATGAGAACTATGTTTATGTTCAGCGTAAGCAAGTACCGATAAGGTTAAAAATAATCTTCCGAAAAATAATCTTTAAAATAATACATTGGTAAAATAATTTAACATGTAATATTAAAAATTTGAAAATCACTTCACTAAAATACGCATAATTCTCACAAGATTATGATACCGATGGTTTTTCAAAAATATAATTTTCAAACCATTTCCCCAACCTCCTCACCTGTAATATTATTATTATAACATTATCAACAACATAAAAATGTATTTCCAACAGTGCAAACATTTTTTCTCAACGTCGCAAACAATTCTCAACAGGGCCTTACAGTATACCCTGCGTTGCGCGTAAAAAAAGAAAAGGAATAAGGCTGTATAGCGGGACGACCGATATCGCTTATTCTAAAATACTTGTGGGCGAAAGAGATGGGTAGGGAGGGAGTGGAGGAAAACCACGTAAAAGAGATTTCCACTCGCGAATACTGCGGATATCGGGAAATGACAGCGGCATCGAGAGCCATTGTCTTGATTTATTAAACCAGCGCGAAAATCCTAACCGGAACACGCGTACATGTATACGGATTCGTGTACGAAGGGCGCGCGCGTTATTACATGGAGTTTTGAAGATGATGAATCGAGGAGTGAGCGTCGGACAAAAACCCCTTGGAAACTTTGACACCTTAAGACGCGGTGGAGGTGGGTTGGTGGGCGTGGTGGCGGAGGAAAGACTTTTCGACATGCGAAAGTCTTGTTCCACCACCGTCGGCCGACCGATCGAGCTGATAGCTGGCCAAGGGTGGGTGAATGGGTAGGAGAAGGGCGCGAGGTACGCGATGCATGTGTACAGAATACGACGTCAGCCGAGATGGTTAATTAATTACACGCTTGGCGTAGCGTTCGTCTCAAGTGCAGTTGTGACGGACGGATTATTATTGTTCGTGCACGATCAGAGAAAAAAAATTAATAATAATAATAATAATAGTTGTGGTACAAAAATAAAACACTCGGCGCAAATGGCTGCGCAGGATTACGTCCTAACATTGGAACTATCTCGGAAGTTCGTTCGGAATTCTATAGTTTTTCTCAACCGTGAATCTGGGCGCGCTGGTTTCTTGCGTATGTTGTCAGGGTTACCACGTTAACCCTATTGTGACCACAACCAAATTCCCGAGGAGTAGTTGCTTCGAGACACAAAGATGGGTGGGGTGTGAAATGCAACTCGGTCGCTTATCGGTTGTCGGTTAGATGTGTTGGAAGGCGGTGGTCAAATGTTTACGAATCTTAAGTGGTGTACAGTGAACATCAACACCGAGCTACTGTCACATTGAGCAACTACTACTACAGCGTCTAGTAATTTCTGATAAAACCAACCACTACGATGTGCCACAACAATTGTCTTAACGACTATAATTTACTCTTGAATTGCATAGTATCATATAAGTATAAATATATTTCATCTTTGAGAGCATTACTACGAGTGTGGTATCAATCGGTTGGACGGGGTGGGTCATTAACAAAACGTTTGCTTCTATATTATTCGCTACGCCACTGGCCACAACAATGTTCGGAATCAGTGTTACCTACAGGTGGTGATTGAACGTATGCTACCGCAGTTGCTTAGGTTTTTTCGAATTTCACCGTGTACTACCACATGGATAACACGTAGGGATGGTTACGGTTATCCCACCATCCTATCTCCGTGATCATTAGTCGACATCCGTGCGAATCCTGATTTCGAAGTCCACAGCGTACCGTAAAAGCGTCCATGTCAATGAAACACGTTCGACGAGATCACGTACATTATTACATCGACTAAAACTACGTGCGTTACGTCAGCACCGCTCATTAAGAAAATTTGATTTTTTTTTCTATCAATAATTAGCACGTAATTAGCATGAATTTGCATGACCAATTTCGCAATTTGCATGTCATCCATTTCTCCAGAATCGCAAAAATTAACGGGCGGTGTTGGCGAAACGTTTCGTTATATTTAATATATTAAATATTTGGTGAAAATTTTATGTTTTTAAACTTATTATTTTTTGAGTTATTGTAAAATAAAATAATCATTTTTGTCGAAAACTGGGTTTGAATAAAAATTCCTGTTTTTCCGTTGCTTTTTTAGGATTTTTCCTGACGCTTTTGAAAACTATTGGAGATTTTCTAAATTCAATCTTTAAAATGCACAATTGGCATCCAATTTGCTACTGGAGACCATCTCTGACTTTGATGTATTAATTCATGTAGTTATGGTGTACACATACACAAAAAACATACATCATTGTTAAATCAATACATTCCACCACTGAACTGTGGTGGTTTCTTTTACAGCCTTTGGTTTATTCTGTAGATCGTCGTATATTTCCTAGTTGTGGGGTCCACGTTTACACAATATCAAATAGTGACCTATGGATGTTCTAAGACGACTAAGTCCACGGCCATAACTACAAACTCCTCTAAGTTCAAAACTTTTCCCCGAATATTGTAGAACCTCAGAGGAATATTTTTCAATTGAATCTCTAGTTGAGGAAGAACCTCTGAACTATATTCATTAACATTTTCTCCTAAAATCATATTTTTAATAATTCATAATATTTTATTATAGCGATTTTGACGATTTTTGATTAATTTTTTTTTATATTAATCCTTTTTGGAAAGGCAGGGCATATTAATTATTGTTATGTTAAGTTAATAAAGATGCAAGTATATAATAAATAATAATTAATACAAATGTATATATGATTTTAATATATACATCAAATATCATTAGTTTATTAACCTGTATTGATAAACTCATAATATAATTAGAGAAACAATAGGTTACTAGGTCATAAGTTACTACAAATAATTGAAAAAAATATTTACTCATTATCGTTAAAGTTACTAAAAAAAACTAGTATTAACTATTATTACTCAGTAAAAGTAGTTTAAATTTTAAGGTCTCTCAAAATAGAACGCGTTATATAACGTTGCATGTAATTTTGTAATTTAATAAAACGTCGGCGTTCTCACGTCACGTTACGCTATTATACTGCGACAGTTAAAATAGCGCGTTCTTTTTAACAGAGCTTTAACTTGTTTATGCCCAGCCTTTATGTTTTGTTTATCAAATCTTACCTTCCCAATTGAATATTTCAATGAATAAATGCATATTTGACCCTCTAACTATTGTAGTTTTCTGTCCAATGCATTGAATACTATGATCTGTCATATTATATCCACACTTTGTGCATAGGCGCAAATAGGGAGTTACATTGGCGGGGGCTCAAGTCCTTTAATATATTCAACAAAAATCTCCCCCCTACACATCAAATAAAAATATTTTTTTTTATTAGCTACCTACTAGTATAAAATTATTACTTATTAATGCACATATATTTATTAATAACTAGATAATTGGTTACAATATTAAATTTATTCTTCTATTAGATTTGGCAAAGTCGTTTAAAACTGAGACCCTGTCAATATTGATATCTTTTTTCAATATTAATTATCCCTAAACTGCTAAATCTTTCTTGGAGCATCGTTGTTCGCATCCATGTTTTCAACCTCCTCATTGCGGAAAATGACCTTTCACAAGTAGCGGAATTGATTGGCAAAGTTATTGCTACATTAAATAATTTGTAATAATTTGGAAAGATTTGTTTGCTATTCAATGAGTTTAAGTGATTTTGCAGAACTTCCAAATCAACATTAACTTTCAAGACATTTTTGATAACCATCATTTCTGATCTTAAAGAATCTTTGGAAACACCAAATAAATCCTAAAAGTTATTATTTACAAATTAATTATCAAAAGTATACAGTAAATAAAAAGTAGATTCGAACATTCAATAACGTTGTTTAGCATAATTTATTAATATAAATACATCATAAATTAATATTAAATTTAGTTAAATATTTTTTGGTCGTCTTCTCCAACTTTCTACAGACATGTCTTCTTCAGTTAAAATATTTGTTCCTTCTACATTATTATGTACATTAAATGAACGCATTACGTCTGAGTCATCTGTGTCGTATATGTTGTCTCCATGGTTTAATTTATCCATATGGTGTATATCATCATTTGTATAAACTAATTCATCTGCTTCGGGAATGTCATCTGTGTGGTACGGTGGTTCATCTAAAATCAACATTTCATCTATTTGAGCTAATGAAGAACTAGATTGTTGACATGAACGTAATAATGAAGATCCACGAAGGGAGGTAATATGGTGCTCTAAAAAAAAATTTCCAAATCAGTAGGTAACGATATATGTTTAAATGTAGCATTTTTAATTTTGTTAAAGCTGGATTCTACCGCTGCAGAACTGGCTATTTCACTTCCATAACCAAATACCGGTATCATTAATCCAGACCAAAGTGGCAACAGCTTAACACATTTAATAATTAATGGAACTAGAGAGGGCAAATACATTGGATTAATCCCAGTTTCTTCTTTTATAGTAATTTTGCTCTTTTATATATTTCTTGGGCCCATAATTGAAAAGGGTAATTGGTATCATCTAGTCCAGAAAATTGAAGATCGAATTCTTCTTCAATTAATTGACGAGCATCGTCTTCTATTTCTACTGTGGCTATAATTTCATTAAATTGTTCTTCAAAGTCTATAAACCCTGAAGAAGTAGCTCATATAAGATGTTGTTTGTGTTTTTCACATTCAGTTGTATCTCCACTTTGTGCATCATTTCCATCAGTCTCATTAATTAGCAAAACAAATAATGAAAACAATAATGCATACATAGCATTAAGGGATTGACACTTGACGAGTAGCCCAACTGTTCGCAAGATAACTTCTCTGACTCTTCTGGGAATGGTTTTCAGAGGTATCCACTTACTGGCCACCTTCATGAAATGCATATTTTAAAATAAAGTATGTTAAATACCAGAGGGGGCACTGCCCCTCCTAATTTTTTCTAGGGGGAACAATTGCCCCCTCTTTCCCCCCAGTTTACGCCTATAAATTTAATCTCATGTGATCGAGGATAATGTGGTCTTCAAAAATTATTCCATAATAATATTATTCATACGCTTAACCAGTTAAGATATAATAATAAAAAACAATAAATTATTCATTACCTAATTCTTCAGTATATCGTTAAAGAGGCCGTTACGCACTCACGACGTCACGGTATGAAATAAATAATAATCGATCGTAAAAACATATTTTCGATGTTCCAATGGTATCAATAGTAAAAACATGGTTTTATACTAAATTAAGTAAATACATTTAGTATACAATACATGAGAAGTTTTCCTAATAACTGTTAGACTGATAATTGAAATTTGTTTTTAAACCAATTTTATTTGTACCTATCTACTTGAAATTAGTAAAAATATTAATGTTTTTAAAAACTGAAGCTAATAAAATCAGCAAATTATGATATCAATATTCAGTTAAAATAGTTATTAATTATACTTCTTATATTTGATTTGATACAATAATCATGTTAAAAATTGGCATGACAAATTTATAGTCTGTCATCATTACGTAATGATAACTAAAAATATAAACTTTATAAAGTTAATAGTAAAGTTATTCTATTTTATTTTAACTCAGTTAAGATAGAAGTTATATGGAGACTTACAAATAGCTTATTAACTTAAACTATTAACATTAAAAAAGAAAAAAAGAAAATGTTCAAATGTATAACATATAACTCAAAAAGATAAACATTTTTTTTTTTTGATACACACAGTGCAGACATACATTCATCTTTTAGCTCAAAATGTAAAATGCATATTGAAGCATGAAATGTAAATACATATTATTATAATCGTATTATATCAAATTTCTTTATTTACCAGTTCTCATAAGACGAGTAGCTTCTATTTTTCTGTAAGTTTCACTCGAAACGTTTTTATCAATAATCGAAATTATTGCTTTTTTTTTCGCAGGTCCAATCAAACGACGTTTTTTATTAGATTGGTGCGAAGTATCAAAATTACCAACATATGTACACTGCATTAAAACCCTGATAAGTTACAACAATTAATATCATACTTAGCAAAAAAAAATATACATATGAACGGTCATAATATCGTTAAATATCTTATATTGTAAACAGTTATAAATATAATTTATAATTTGTTGAAATTAATAAAATACCTCGCGCTATCTAACGGCCGTTCAGCAACTATCCCTTTAAAATGCGATCCACATATTGAACATCGGGCAATAACAGTCACAAAATTTGACCCTTGGGGATGAACATTGGCTTTTTGAAATGATAAGCAGCATGGTAATCGGGTGTGTATCCAAAAATGTTCTGCTAATATAGGACTCCATTGGTTTTTTGTTAGTGTGTGGTAGGATTTACAAGTTTTTAAAGGCCGATTTTTATCATTTAGTCTGTAGAGCACTTCGTGCGGTTTTATTTTCTTCCGTTCATCAGCGGAAAAAGTAAAAACAAACCTTTTTGTTGGAAAATCTTCCTCACTACTACCACAGGTATCGGAACTACCTTTAAAAAATGTTAATTTTTTTTATTACTATTCATACAATATATATATATCATTCTATAATATTTAAAATGTGAAAATGTTCAACGTCAGACCACCATAGGTAGAATATTAATGCTTACCAAATGTATAGGTATAATATACTATTTTATATGGCATACAACTGTATAATATAGTACCTAACAATGTTAGGTATTTTACGTTAGACTAACATAAAATATTTTTTCTTACTTTTTTCATTTGGTAAATCAATATCAGTATTTGATGTGTTAATACTAGTACTTGGAAATCCTAGTTTTATTTTAATATCGTGGCGTCCTTTGTACACAAAAGTGTGAAGGGCAATTTTCGTCATTTCGCCATTCAAATGAATGCTTAAATCTGTCCACACTGAATCAGTGGCTATAACTATTTCTGAAAACAATATTTGATTGTAAAATAAGAACATTTACTATCACTGAAATTATCAGACGTCAAATTTTGATTTTGAAAAAAATCCATATTGACTTCCTAGCACCCGAAAGAAAACGAGATTTAGATTTTTACTATATGCGCACTTATAAGTTTTTTTACACGAAAACAGTACATTTTAGAACTATATATGTAAGACGTTTTAAATTATTTATTGTAGTAACCTACATCCAGAGTATATTTTGAATTTTTAAAAAAAGACAAAATTCAATGTTTTTGAAACAAAATTTATTTTAATTATTTTCGATAACCAATAATACTTACCTAATACTAAAGTACTTAGAAAAGTATTAATTGTTATAAAATAAATAATATGAAAATATTTTTTTTGTATCAGAGTACAAAATTTCTACCATACAAAACTTGCCGCGCAATACCGATCAGACGGCGCGCGGCACATCAACTGTACCATTGATTAAATATACTATCAACCATAGGCGTGCGCAGACTTCAATTTCCGGTGGAGCCTAGCTAACAAT